GCCATGCTTGGGGTGGCTGGAGCAAAGCATCGACAGACCAGCCCTCCCCAGCACCACGGGTGGTGGAGACAGCCACGGCGGGGGAGCTGCAGGCCAAAACTCTGTTACGGGGGGGGGAGAAGTGATGGAGAAGCACAAGGTCGTGCAGGGGATCCCTTTGCTTTAGGCTGATGCAACCCAAGCAGCCCGGTCCAGCTTTAAGAATGACCTTGCCTTGAGTTTTAGACTAGAGACCTCCCAGTTTGCCCAGTTTTTACCCTCTGCATGGTCAGTCCTGGCCTGAGCAGAACCCCAAAGCCCGACTTAAGCAGCCATGAGATGGGCGGATCCTGCCATCATCAAACCCCAGCTTATTGCAAGCATTGGCACCAAGAGCTCTATAAAGCTGAGAGCGTCTGCTCCAACCCTCCACCCACAAATATCCACCATCTAGAACACCTGAAGCCTTTGACACTAAGTTTAACCACCATGGGTAAGCACACGATCTCAGCAACACCACCACCCCCCCACCCAACACCCCAGACAAGGTGGAAGGGGGGGAAATGATAGATTGATGCTGGGATTTCATCTGGAAAACCATCTGCAGGGCAACTGGGCCGGGGCTGTGAAGGAAACCACAATACACCCCAATACCTCGCCTTAAACGTTAGACCCCACTGCCATCTTGTGGCAAATGCTTCCCAAAAACAAAGCGAAAGAGGGGAAACCCCGTTAAAAAGTTGTGGACAAAGTTAGCTGGTGCGGCGAGGAAGGATGGGTAAGTCGCTGGGAACAGGGTGGGGAAACTCATCGCTTCTCTTCAATGATGCCGACTGACTCCATAGCACCATGCCAGGTACAGATTGATGTGGAAAACACAGAGACGGGATCGTCCAAGCCAAACGTGCGAAGTTGAGGATATAATCACACACACAAAGCGCGTACGGCCACGACTGCCTTAGTCGTGTCTCTGGCACATTAATACCGGCAGAGATGCAGTCGCTATTTCAAAACATTTAACAGTTTCCAAAGTAATTTAACGTCGCCCTTGTTCCAGTAAGGTTTGTTGACCCCAACGAGCAGGGTTAAGCTGGAATTAGATACTGCACCTCTGAATTAAAGAACGCTGTTGCTGTAATTTACTGAGAAGACAATTTAGAAGACGGGGATTAGGGTTCATGTCAATCATTCACGTGGCACGAAGCATCCCTGGATGCCGAAAACCTGCAGATTGGCACCCCTGGGTTTTCAAAAAGCACCTCGCTGCGGGAACGAGGGGCAGCTTTGAAAATCCCCCCGGCCCTTACCTGGCTGTCAGTGCCAGCTGAGCGCTTGGGGTACACCTCAGCCTTTACTTCTTGCATCATTTATCACGCACAGCGCTCGCGCCGCGGCGGAGCCTTTGCTTAGCAACTGGGGATCGCTTCCCAGGAGCCGCTTTCCGAGGCATTAGCAAAGTGCCTCAATTGCTGTATCATCCACTCACCGCGGATGGCTAGAAAAAAAAACCCAGCAAATGGCTTTTCCTTCTTTGTTTTGCAGTAAGCCCCTGCCAGATGCGGTATCAGACAACATCGAGTCTGTGTACGATCTGAAACACTTAACCGGGTTTGGGTACAAGTGAATGAAAACTCACTGAACAAAAATAAATTCATGATCAGTTACAAGCAGCGCGTCTCTCCTCGGCACGGATCTCCGCTAGCAGGAGTGGGTCAAGAAAACAAGGGGGAAGAACTGTATTTTGAAAACAGACAGAGAAAGTGGCAGCGTCCTGACTATTTAAAAAAAAAATAATCTGATTTCCATCAGAGATGTGTGACCATCTACCTGGAGATGCTTTGCTTTCTTCCACTGAAATCTGTACAACGGCGCTGTTGGGAGGGACAGCAGCAGACACAGACTGCCAGGCAAACGACAACGGGTCTTGCAATACCTTCCTAGTTTCACAGCCCCTTTCCTTGGCCCTTTGCGACCCGGACTCTGCTCCGCGTGACGGGATGGGTTACAGAGGCACATCGCACTGCCAGAGACAAACTCTATTTTCTGCTTTCAGCTGGGATTTAACTACTTTCTGAGTTTCTGTCCCATTTACTCGTTTCAACTTCTTGAGACTTTGAAACGTTGGTGTGTATTACAGATGAGCTTGCCCTAAATAAAACTAATTACCCTATCGATAGCCGTATCTTTGTCCTCAGAGATGAAAAAGTGTTTGAAGGTTGAGCCTGGACCTGGATAAAAACGTTTCTATCAGCATTAGTTTGAAATCAAGACACAAATCAGATGGGTCTAAACATCACACTGCGAGTTTTACAGAGTGGAAGTTGTCTCTGGGTTTTAGAACAGGAGGTGTTACCCACCCCCAGCCTCTCAGGCAC